TGTCGGTAGAGTATCAAACAGGCCCGGTGTATCTACAAGAACAAGTTTACGATATTTGGACATCACTCGTTCTCCTCGGTTGTTATCTATAGTTACGGACTGAGTACATCCTAGATTAGGAAATTTCGCGTGATCCAATATATTGTTTCCTAACAAACTTTTACCAACTCCAGTCTTGCCGAACATAACTACACGTATATCTTCTACCATTTCTATAAAAATAGAAATCAAAGTAATTAATATGTAAACTAACAAATGTTAAATATAATAACTCCAAGCGTGGCCACTAGACCCTATCCCATGGCTTCTAACTTCTTGCCTGTTAGCTTTCAACCCCGGTGCTTTTAAGCCTCCAACTGTTGAACAAGACATGTAAACTCCCTTAAAACTATCCGATAAATAAATCTAGTATTTATGAGCGGGCATACAAGCGAATTTTTTGAGCGATTTTAAAATTTGCCGTGATCGGGCGATAAAATATGCTCGTCATAAGAAAGAATTCGGGTGTTTTTTGTGGGGTGTGCGAGGGGGCACAAACTGAAAATAGTAAAGGATTGGGCTGGAATCAAATGTTTGTTCTTCTTCCTTTGTCCTTTGAGACAAATGCAAATAAAAAAAAAAAAAAAAATTTTGAAATTTTCTACACAGACGCTAATTATCGGATCGATCTCAAATTTACAGGATATAGATCTTATGTCAATACAAATAAAACTGCGTCATAAAATATTTCAAATAATTTCCGGTTTGGGCGTGGGAACTTTCGGTTTTTCAAAATCACAAATATAGACAAAAACCGTACAATATATCTCAAATAAATAATTTCAATCAACGAAGAAGAAATAATTCGAACAGGAAGCGTAACCTGAAAGTGGCGTATTTTGGTAGTAAATCTATTATCCGATTTGTATTATTTTGTTGTGTAATTTTATATATTTTTTATGCCTGTTGAATTTTTTTGAAAATTTAAAGGTCTATATCTCGTGACCTTGACTTTCATGTAGAATGTTCTTGACCTTTCCAGATCCCCCTAACTGTGCGTTAGGACATCGCACTGGAGACATGTTTTCAAATGTTACCAAAATGTAATTTATATCTTACCAAGCAATAAAATTAAAAACATAAAACCTACCTTTTTCAAGCTCTTCTAAAATAAAAGCTCTTGCACTATCTGATTCTAAAAATTTCATAAAAGATTCAAATGTCGGTCCCGAATTCATGAGGATTCTTAAACATACTCGGCAGGCGTCTTTTCTTGTTTTGTCTAAAATACTCTCGTGCTGGTCGCTGGTAATTTTCCTTTCTTTGTATAAGTAATCAGCCAAAGGCCTTGGCTCAATACTGTCTATAAGAAATTCATAGTTATTTCGTAGTATCTTTTTATAGTCTACTTCCATTTCCATCTGAAATATCAAACCAAAATTATATTATAGTAACTACAAATTAAATACCCTCTCGTTGTGAAACATTAAACTCTTTTAACGATTATTTGATTGATTGATTGATTGAATATTTTAGTGAAACAACGTTTCACACGATAAACACAAGGAAATTATGGCTATGTGGAAAGAGAACCATCTCTAGTTTTTGCGCAGCAGTACCTATTCCCCCCTGCCGATTCAGGTCCACCAACACTCGAATACAGTCATCCAGAATGGCCACAACTGTCAAGAAATGATTATATTGTTACTCTATGTTGTAGTCCAGATTCATGTATTCCAAAACTATTATTATTATTATTAACAATACTATGACATGCATATTACACAATCAAAGTTCTGGATGACCAAGACCTAGAGATGGCTGTTTTAGAACGAGGTGAGTGGTAATATTTTGGGAATAGGCCCTGTCAGTTCTTCCAATACAAAATGATATTACACATTTTGACAACAAGAATTGCTGTATATTATTTACTTTTTAATATTAATTAGTAATTAGTTGATAATTTAGTTTCATTAATCTATAAATATCACAATGATGTAGCTAAATTTTCACCTCGACCTGTGCACGTACTCTTACCTTGTCATTGTGAAGTAAAAAAGGGTAAATTGAATTAAATAGGTATGTTTAAGTAAAGTTTGGGCACGTTATAGTTCGATAGCAGTGTTTACAGGGCCAATAGTGTGAAAAGAGAAAGTCGTGAAAATCGAAGACCTTTAACTTGGCTCCATGCAAAAATAACAGGAACTTTCAAATGTGGTTCTTCTTTGATGACTATGTTCAAAAACTTTGGAATGTAGAAATATATCAACACCGCCTTTTTCAACCTCCTCGTTCAACTTAATAATAAAGTCAGAAAAACAATCAAAAACATCTATTTTATGTTTAATATGGCGATCTCCATTTGATATACGTGGGTAACTAGCAGCATTCTACTATCACAGATTATATTCCACCAAAACTAATGATGAATCTCAAAACGCGATTTTAAGGCCCTTTGCAATTAGTGACGTCATCAAACACTCAGTTTTAGTGGAGTTGCAGAAACCACAAACTCAGATTGAAAATTGGATTTGTGCATATTGATGTTATCAGTGTTCCCGATACACATAAAAAATTAAAAAAACCTCTTTATAATCCCTTATAGGGTTATTCATTTTGTGAAGTCTTTTATTCAAACCTGATTTTTGACAGGGTTTATATTCCGCTGATAATAAACGATATCACAACGCTTTGTGAAAATCCTTATCGAATGTTTTAAAATGAATTGTGATAATCGTTATGAGTGTATGATAAGAGACATTGATTAATAACTGCATAACTATTTAAAATCTTCCTTGTTAGACATAAACAGGTATATTTTAATATACGACCAAACATTCATATCTTACTTTCGTGCATCTTTCCGGTCAATTAATGGTATATTGTTTAAAGTCTACCTTATAATTTATATAATTTATTATTCAGTTAAATAATTCAGCCACTTACGTTGACCTCAAATGTCTGACGAAGTAAAAAGTATCACCGTAGTTATCTTTCCGTAATCGGATGATATAATAGCGCCAATCAGAACATTCTGGAACAGATGTAGATACGAACTGAAAGATTAAAAGACTGTCTTAATGAATAGGACAGTTTTGAAAGTATACAAACAAATAAATATTTCTTTTCTTGCTATTTTTTTTCTATATTTTTCATCACATTTTCTGATTCAAAATCATGCTCAGAATAACAATAATCCATTTCACCTACAAACTTAAAATGAAGCACACAAAGGGACGTAAGAAAAAGCCTAAAAAAAATTGTCACGATCAAGACAACAAGGTCGTTTGATTTTCAGAGTTACTTCCTTTGACTTTTTTCTGACGTCGTCATCATGGAGAACCATGGAATCTTTGACGTGTTTTTCTGAATTAATCTTGAACGTAGACTATCAAAATTCTGCGAATGCTCCACCAGTACATCCAACAGAATCTGCAGTGTATGTGGTGGTTAAAATCTTCACCAAGATTGGAAGAACCCTTCCAAATATAGGACATTCAAAAAGAAAGATGGCGATGATTCAGATGATGGCAACTGGGTTGTAGAAAACGAACAGACATCGTGTCACAGTTGGAGAGTGTCATGTTATGAAACAAAGCATGGCAACTCAAAGTATGCTTAAGTTAGAAGGATGGTTACTGAAATATAAACCTTTAAGCCTAACGACAGTAAATATAGGCCTAGATTTAATATTTCAATGACTTAGGCCTATATAGTATAATATTAGCCTAATTCCGTAAACGCCCAAAATAAGATTAAAATAGTTGAAACGCGGATTATGTTGTGGATATGATGATAAAGAGTAGGGGTATTTCTTGTAAAAAGTTGAAAACTTACTGAATTGATTGTAGTTCTTGGTCATGATATTAAACTGACGAATTGCGGTCGGTTGGTGGTTGACAAGTTAACGACTAACTAACATATAGCGCAACCTATGACGGTTATCTCTTATGTAACTATTTATAGTAAGATGGTATCTCGATTATCGACTATCTGTAAAATATAATGCGAGATAATTGTCGACTAGATTACTCTTTTTGGAATAGTGCGATTTTATCTTTTAATTTGGTGGCCACCCTACACAATATGTAGCCTTGAATCCTGTCATTTACGCAGTACATGTAAATTAGACACAGCAATTAGGCACACTCTGTTTGCCATTTAGGTTTATATTCATCTGGGAACATTCTATTCAGACTTGTTGGGCCATAGGCAAACGAATGGTAGAGTGCCTAATTTCTCATTTTAGGGAGGGGGCATGGTGTGATTACAATTTTATGGCAGGAAGTTTGCGATCTTGTTTTTCAGGAACAGATCAATCAGCTCATCAGCATCAATCGTATGCACGATATCGACATTCATCACTATTAGGCTCAAAAAATTTAGTTGATTCTCACACATCATGCTCCTAGTAGGATAATTTTCGATGGGCCTGCGGAAATTTATTAACTGTGTGATAATTTTTACTGTTACAAAATTTGTCATGGGCCGAATTTTCCATGGGCCGAAAGGCAGCTGCCTAGTTTGCGTATAGGTTAATCCGCCTCTGACTCTATTTAGGCAGACTCGTATTTATTAAACACAAATCATTGGATTTATATGTATACATAGTTAGATACTCTTTGAGCACACACAGGAGCAAATTTCAAACCAAATGTGCGTACATGTATATTGATAGCTGTGGGATAAATATAATCTTTCACTCGTGCTTATGTCATATGAAATTCACGAAATTCGTTGCCGGGTTAAATATTTCCCTCGTCAAATATTAAATCTTTGCAACTCATTTCATAAATTTCGTATTACTTAAGCACTTGTTTAAGATCCTATATTTATGACATTGTGCCGAATATTAGTGTGTCTAATTGAATAGGTGCCTAAAAGAGTGTTCCTAAGGTACAGTGTCTTTCTGTCTTGTGCTGAATATATATATATATATATATTATTTGGTTTGATTCTACTCATTTGTGCTATGTCCTAGGGGCATTGGATGCACAGAGGTAGCGCGACGTCCTATAGCCTGGCTGTGCAAGTAATGTGACGAAAATCAACAAATTGTATTTTTTTTTCTTACTTCCTTAGCTCAGGAAATCCGAGGTAAATCGGTCCAAAAATAAACTCTACAGCCTCCAAACCAAAATTTTGCACATTATGTAATAAGTCACTAAAAGTACTAGAAGTTTACAAAATCGCATAATTCCTTCAAAAATAACTTTAACTTTTTATTTCTATATTATGTCTTTTCTCTTTATGGCAGAGTCAAGAAATGACGAGTCGTCAATTTAACATTCAAACGTGGATAATTCTGGACACATATGGATTTGAAGGCTAAAATATGAAAACTATTAGTAAATTACTGATTGGCTTAGCTAAAACAAATTCGGATGGAGAGCCTGGAAAGTTGAATAACAAGTCTCTTTGTACTTTTCTTGTTAAAATTTCAATTCGATATATACTGTTGTACGAGAGTGACAGCAGGTGTTTTGAAAGGGTAACCAAATTCAATAAAGATTGATTTGGGGGCTTAAAAAGAATTCAGGGGGGGGGGGGGGATGTCTTTCTTGTTGTGTTATATTATGATTGACAAGGGTCTGATATCAGGGGGAATGGCCTTCATGTTGTGTTATATCATGATTGACAAATGTCTGACAGATGGGGAATGACCTTCTTGTTGTGTTATATCATGATTGACAAGGGTCTGACAGAAAGGGCTATCGCTTTCTTGTTGTGTTATATTATGATTGACAAGGGTCTGAAATCAGAGAGAATGGCATTCTTATTGCGTTATATCATGATTGACAAGAGTCTGACAGCAGACAGAATGGCCTTCTTGTTGTGTTATATTATGATTGACAAGGGTCTGACAGGAAGGGGTATCGCCTTCTTGTTGGGTTATATCATGATTGACAAGGGTCTGACAGAAGGGGTTATCGCATTCTGGTTGTGTTATATCATGATTAACAAGGGTCTGATATCAGGGGGAATGGCCTTCTTGTTGTGTTATATCATGATTGACAAGAGTCTGACAGAAGGGGAATGGCCTTCTTGTTGTGTTATATCATGATTGACAAGGGTCAGCCAGAAAGGAACATGGCTTTCTTATTGTGTTATATTATGATTGACAAGGGTCTGATATCAGGGGGAATGGCCAGCTTGTTGTGTTATATCATGATTGACAAGAGTCTGACAGCAGAGAGAATGGCCTTCTTGTTGTGTTATATTATGATTGAGAGGGGTCTGACAGAAAGGGGTTTGGCCTTCTTGTTGTGTTATATTATGATTGACAAGGGTCTGACAGGAAGGGGTATCGCCTTCTTGTTGGGTTATATCATGATTGACAAGAGTCTGACAGAAGGGGAAATGGCCTTCTTGTTGTGTTATATCATGATTGACAAGAGTCTGACAGAAGGGGAATAACCTTCTTGTTGTGTTATACCATGATTGACAAGGGTCTGACAGAAAGGACTATCGCCTTCTTGTTGTGTAATACCATGATTGACAAGGGTCTGACATCAGAGGGAATGGCCTTCTTGTTGTGTTATATCATGATTGTCAAGGGTCTGACAGAAAGAGGTATCGCCTTCTTGTTGTGTTATATTATGATTGACAAGGGTCTGACCTGACAGCAGGGGGAATGGCCTTCCTGTTGTGTTATCTAATGATTGATAAGGATCTGATATTAAGGGGGTGTCTTTCTAGTTGTGTTATATCATGATTGATAAGGGTCTGACAGAAGGGGGAATGACCTTTCCGCAGGCCCATCGAAAATTCGGCCCAGCCGATGAGAAATATCTTCACATAAAACATACTAAACCTCTTTATTTACATTATTAATAAGGTCTCGCAACCCTATCACCTGTGGGGATGAGCAAACAGTTTTCATATTTAAATTTGTCAACTCTTACTCTTTAGGAATTAGTTCCGAAACGTTGCTATATTTTTACTCTTATTGTATCGACTTTTAATCAAACTACCGTTTGCACGTTATCGTGTGATGTATTTTTTCTTGTTTACTAGTCGACTTTTTATTAAAATACAGTTCGATATTCATATTCCCTAGATTAATAACAGACGACGCTACTGTGTTGCCTTTTTTGTCAGCAGTCCTCAAGACACAAGAGACGAGAGGACGATTCGTGTCTTTGCCTTATATTAAACTTCGCTTCGTAGATACCGACCCGCGGCCGTCCAGCCCATCCACGCACATTTCATTGAGCGATCGACTATAATAAATGAATTTAAATAGGCTACCGTTTGGATTGGAATCCAGTCTGTCCCGACTTTCGGCTTCAGAAGTTATAGATTCAAACGTTTTCATTGTTAACTTAATAGTCCTATTGGCGTTATCAACTTAATGTGAAGCCTGCTGCTACACATATAACTAAATCCAGATTCTTCCAAAAGATTTTTAACAAATTATATGCAATTTATATATAGGGCCTACTTTGAAACTGATAAATAATATACATAAAAATAATTATACTTAACCGCGTAAGGTAATTACAAAATTACAAATTTTTTCACTTCCAGTTCCACTGATGATGCTTATGCGATAGCAGATGGCGATTTTGGTTGTAGTGGTAGTAGTACAACAAAACCAACTGATCATCCGATGCAGGACGACGATGCAGTCAGTGCACAGAGCGATTCTGAGCACGAATCTGCCATAAAATTGTAATCACACCTTGCCCCCTCCTTAAAATGAGAAATTAGGCCCTCTATCGTTCGTTTGTCTACGGCCCAACAAACCCAAAATCCCCCACTGCATGATCTTTGTGCGTCATTCTAAATTATTCCGGTTTTTTTTTTATTATCATATACATTAATAATCTGTCTCTATCAACCAAAGATAAGCTAGATTTTATAACAGATGTAATAGTTCTCAAATATTCCTGAGTTCCTAGTAGTACCGGCAAGATGAAGGTACCCTTACTTCTCAGTTTTCTTGCACTCGGTTTGAACTTCCCAAGGTAAGCAACACGATTTGTGCGCTTAGAGACTTATAAAACCTATATTTGTTTTTTGTTCACACTGGCTACTATTTTACGGCGCGTATTATTTTTGTTTTCCATTTGTTCCGTACTGTTGTTAGTAGCCAGCGGAAAAGCTTCATTCGTGAATGGGCAATGGATTGTTTCCCCGTCGCTCTGCTGTTTTTTTTCTCGAGTGTGAGGCAATTTGTTTTTGTCAAGAATGTCATTAAGAGGCTTTTTAGGGTTAGGTAGGAATGGTCAAATTTTGTCACATTGCGAAAAGCCACGACCTTTTATATTTTGTTTATCTTGCTACAAGATTTTGCTTTCTCGATACTGGATGTTCCCGTTAGGTCTTGAACAGATTTGCTATCTTGATGTCTGATGTACACTTTGAATCTTGAAACCCATTTGTGCTATTAGTGCGCGTAGAATGTCGAATTTTAATTATGTATTTATTGAGGGGGAATTGTTTAAACGGCGGTGGTCGTCCTTTTATGCTTCAATCTCACCCGGTGTCAATCGTTGGGTTTTAGCGACATCATTTTCGGGGAATTCATCCAGCTGTAGGTATAACGTTTTGGTGTACGATTATATTTTAGTCTGTGTGAAGCCGGGTGTCCCAGTAACTGCCATTATAACGGTAAATGTAATGTTAGACAGTCTACCTGTCATTGCTATGAAGGGTTCACGGGGTCGGATTGTAACACTGCTTGTGGATGTAATGGTCGTGGTACCTGTTTAAAAGGTGGGTTGAAATATCGATAACCATCATCAATCGTCAACACCCTATTCCACTTTGCAAGCGAGATTCATTTGCTCATTAGAATTTTCATTTGGTATTATATCACTTTATTTTCTAATTTGTATCTGTTGTGAAGAAATGCAACGTACTAATCTGAATTTTGTAGTGTTTCGTTATGTAAGAAAATGCCAGGTCATAAAATAAGCAGTTTAAGTTTATTTCTAATGTGCGGTTATATCACAAATTTGCTTTTCAACTCCTAGATGTGCTCTATGGTTACTGCACCCTTTGTCTCGGACGTCCTAACCGTGAATCAAAATAAATGTCGAGTATTATCGGCATTTTTTTTATTACAAATACGGAGTTAAACTAGTCACTCCGTATTTCATTCATTGCCAGGAGCCCATAACCAGGACTTTCTGTTAACTTTCAGACAATACATGTAAATGTGATGAAGGGTGGATCTATTCTGGTGGGCAATGTATCTGGGATTGTCATTGTTCTAATGGTAAGTGATATCTTTACGTCGTATAGTCTTACAATTGTTGCTGATACGTCGTGTCTAAAGCAATGTATCTGGCATTGTCATTGTTTTAATGGTGATATCTTTACGTCGTATACGTCTTACAATTGTTGCTGATACGTCGTGTCTAAACATTGTATCAGGGATTGTCATTGTTCTAATGGTAAGTGATATCTTTACGTCGTATAGTCTTACAATTGTTGCTGATACGTTGCGTCTAAACATTGTATCAGGGATTGTCATTGTTCTAATGGTAAGTGATATCTTTACGTCGTATACGTCTTACAATTGTTGCTGATACGTCGTGTCTAAAACAGTGTATCTGGGATTGTCATTGTTCTAATGGTAAGTGATATCTTTACGTCGTATAGTCTTACAATTGGTGCTGATACGTCGTGTCTAAACATTGTATCAGGGATTGTCATTGTTCTAAGTGATATCTTTACGTCGTATACGTCTTACAATTGGTGCTGATACGTCGTGTCTAAAACAATGTATCTGGGATTGTCATTGATCTAATGGTAAGTGATATCTTTACGTCGTATAGTCTTACAATTGTTGCTGATACGTCGTGTCTAAACATTGTATCAGGGATTGTCATTGTTCTAATGGTAAGTGATATCTTTACGTCGTATAGTCTTACAATTAGTGCTGATACGTCGTGTCTAAACATTGTATCAGGGATTGTCATTGTTCTAATGGTAAGTGATATCTTTACGTCGTATAGTCTTACAATTGTTGCTGATACGTCGTGTCTAAAACAATGTATCTGGGATTGTCATTGTTCTAATGGTAAGTGATATCTTTACGTCGTATACGTCTTACAATTGTTGCTGATACGTCTTGTCTAAACAATGTACCATGGATTGTCATTGTTTTAATACGTCGTGTACTTCTTAAAATTGGTGCCGATACGTCTTGTCTAAACAATGTATCTTGGATTGCCATTGTTTTAATACTCGTATACGTCTTAAAATTGGTGCCGATACGTCGTCGTTAAAACAATGTATCAGATATTGTCATTCTCTTTATGGTAAGTGATATCCATTATGTTGTTTAATTATCTATACACAATGACTATTAATCTTGCTTACAATCAATGCTGGTAGATCAGCGTTTAAACCAAATCCGTTATCAATAAGTAGATTGGGCAGTGGTTCTCCCCTATCCAAGTAGCTTCGTAAAGGTCAACCCAATAAGTTCAGCTTCATGTTGTCTTTGTATAACAGGTGCCAAGTGTATAGGGCCGGGAGAATGTGGATGTAGTCAACCATGTAAATATGGAGATTGTAGAAATGGACAATGTCAGTGCTGGAATGGATATAAAGGTGTAGAGTGTTCACAATATGATCCTACTATGTAAGTGATACTTTGTTAATATTAGTTAATGTCAAAGTATTAGAGAGATTTCCTCATTGCACACTGGAAGGCGTTGTTAATTTTTTTCATTATCCATATAAAGTGCAGTAAAGTATTTGTGACACATTGTTGCTGTTCTTCGACTAGGTCGATGTGGCTTGAAAACCATTCTTCTCGTAGTGGGAACTCGGAATTGAGTCTAATTCCTATCATATTTTACGAAATATAAATGCATAGATGTTAAACGAGCTAGGAATCTGACAGATCTGTGTCAAACAGATTTTATTGTTTAGAACCTGAGTTGCCTACCCCTTGGCGACGTCGAACTACGCCCGCCCCAGTTTGACTCAATATTTGGGCCCAACACTAGTTCACTTCTTGCGACGGGGCTGATTGCAAAACTTATCCCCGGGTAACAGGTGCAACTATGATATTGATCAATAATTTCCTGTCAAATAGTGAACGATAATGTTATATAAATGGTATATTACATCAAAATTGAGCAAAACGAGAAACTTTGTTTTTACTTTTAAGGGTTGCCATCTGATTTCGGTTTCTGGAATTGGGTCACTACCCTAGGTTCCCAAGAAGATTTAATGTATTCGTTTGGTACTTTCATTTTGATTTAGAATGACTAACAATGGTATTAAGATGGGAATGAACCTGGGCGGAATCAGCTACTATTCATCGGAGCTGAAATTCGTGGACATCGCCAAACAGTCTCAAGAGTGGATCACACAGCGCGATGGTCAGAACAGTTGGGATACCAAGGAACATGATATAATACAATGGACCACTGATGGTTATCCGGCATCACTTCCAGGTGAGATAGAGATCAATATAAAACGAAAGTAGACTGAGGTCACTTATATTAAAGTGGATTCCGACACGAATCAATTACAATAGACTATAGAGATATTTTGAAAAAACAACAAAGCTACAGTGAGCAATATAAAACGTACTTTCTTTTTTGGCTTAAAACTGCTGACAGTTGGTTGATTGTACCCATATAAAACATTATTGTATAGTCACATTAGTGGACAAACATTTTGCGACATAGTTAATAGGGTTCCTTGGAAGCATAAGGGAATAGGGGCCGCCGAATTGTCGATGGCGGATCACAGTAGCGGGCATTCCCTATGTAAAATTTCAAAGTGGGCGTAGTCAGCCCCATCCCAACTCCCGTAGAAACTCTGTTGTACAGGGCATTACTAACTTGCCAACGACGATGGTCGTTATAATCAGATGTAAATTTGAATGAAGTAACTAAAAAATGGTTTGTCCAATTGTCTATCTGGAAGTATGCGATGAAGTAGTTTTTTGTTTTCCAGACGGAATGCGAGTAGCCAAGTTGGTGTATCGTAATTTTGGGGTCCATGAAGAGAATGGTCAATATGCAATATTATGGGATGGAGATGGTGAAGTTAGTATCAAGTTAACAAAATATAAAATATTATCCAACCAAAAAGGTCAGTATTATACGCTCAGTTATTAATGCCTTATAATTCCTTCAAAGCCATAAAGGACCTTCCCCACAAATAGAAACCTCGATTGATGTACACATACTCTTAATGACTATGTTTGAGAATTTGAATTTCATTTTCTTCTGAGAGGTAACATTGCTTTAAAAGATTTAAAACTATGTAATGTTCGGCTATTCGAAGACATTCCGTCGCCTATATGAGAGAAGCCCCGTCACATCGGACTTCAACCATTTTCGATCTTACTGAGACTTATGGCACTGATCGCGGTCAATCGTGATGAAAACTAGAAACAAAAAGTCCCTAAAATAGTCGACCTCATACCGCGAGTTATGCAACCAGATTGCGTTCTTACGTTTTTGCAGCGATATTGTCACGAGTGTTCTACGGTTTTATACCGCACAGGGAGATGTTACAACGCTAGTCTGATGACATTCTCGACCCCGTGGTAGTTCTCAGCTCGTTCCTGTAGAACCCATCCGACCAATGAAAGTGGCACTTCAGCTTATTTACTTGAGGAAACCGCAACTAGATGCTCTTTTCCATGTCCGTTCCTCCTCATTGTTATTACAGGTAGAATGGTGGTCGAATTGAACCATCTAAATAAAGGTGGTGTTTTATTAGTGGTTGGAAACATCAACCCTAAAAATCCATTACGAAATCTCCGAATGATAGCACCGGGATATGAACAGATCTATAACAGGTTTCCATTCCACCCTGTCTTCCTGGAAAATCTTAGACGTTACTCGGAATTAAGATTCATGGACTTTTATGCCACCAATGGACACGGTGTAAGTTAAATTTCTATACTTGATGTATTCTTGTCGTCTATTTTGCTTACATTAGTTTTTCAACACCAACCTAAAATAATAGCAATTTTGAAAAGTAAATTAAACGTTTTAAATAGTTTTTCGTTATTACAATTAACGGCAAGATAAAAGTTCTACACAAGCTTTAAGTTAAAACTTTCAGACAAGTGGCGGAGCCAAAGGGGGGCAGAAGGGGCAGATATTCGCCCCCACCCCCTCCTCGCACGAAAACCTGACTCCGCCACTGTTTCAGACAAGGTAAGGGACACATGTTTTAGATTTCGGTATATTGTTTCAATTCATTTGACTTTTTGAATTTTTAACTTTCCAAACTTATTTTAAGAATCCGACTGCAGTTTTAGAGTGTGTTTTCTTTATCATATGAACAATCAAGCCAAATATTGGAGCATTGCTGGAAGTTTCCGCTACCATTTGAATATTGCAATGGATCAAATTTCCTTAACATAATTATTGAATTTGAAACAAAACACTTTTTACTCTCTAAAGCTGAGGATAGAAGAGATACGGAGTCCGACGCGGTGCACCGTATGGGATAATCCCTACAGTAGATAACGAAATACGCTTCCGGACACGTTGCAGATAGTGTTCGCTTCTTCTAGTGTCTACTGTATGACTAAAATCCGCAACATATGCCGCACTGGACACCGTACTTCGGCTGTTAACAGCTTAACTAGGTTCTTGTTTCACTTTCATTATTTGTTTCATTTGTTTTCAAATGTGTTCGAAGTCACTACTTCGTTTCCTTGAGTTACATGTATGTATCCTACGATTCCAGCCCGAGCCGACAACCTGGTCCAGTAGATACACCGATACTTTCCATACCCAGGCCGGTAAACAAGGTGGAGCGTTAGAACATATGATAGATCTATCTAATAGATTAGGTACCAACCCCTGGTTCTGTATACCCCATGCTGCCGATGATGACTACATCACCAAGTTTGCCACCATGGTCCGAGATAAACTCAGACCAGACCTGAAGGTAAGATGATCTGGTAGCAAAATCGACGGGGGTATAGGGAAGAGAGTAGTGTAGTTCAGTTCAGGTTAAGATCAAACAGTCAAACACAGACATATCAGCAGGCCCTGTGTGCTACACGCTGTGCACGTTGAAGATCCCTCGACAGTTGGAAATCCAAAAAGAGCAGGCTAATGCCGCAAAATGTCCCTCATAGCACACTGCATGGCGTTGGACATTAGACCAATAAGGTACAGAAGAACTCCATTCATGGTTCCATGGTTTGTCTATGTTATGTATATCTCTAACGATGGGAGATAACTGAGTTACTGTCATATAAGTATCAGGCCACTACTATTAATTAAGTCTTACTGAATATGCTGTGGACCCTTAAATGTTGTTGCCATGGAGTTGTCGTTGTTAGTTGCACTTATTGGTCACATTCTGCGTTAGTAATATACCTGTATACATAGGATAGTCACTCTGTGACGTCCGCGCTTTAAATATAACAAGAAAAAGAAGAGAATGTTGCACCTCCTAAATAACTATAATTGCGATAATATATGTGAAAAGACAATATTTAACTTTGATAGATATATGTAGAATATTCAAATGAAGTATGGAATGGAATATTTAGACAGACCAAGTACACTCGAGAACAAGGAATGGCACTAAAACTAGATTCAAGAGATTTTAAAGCTGGTTTGAAATATTACAATAAAAGATCCACCGAAATGATTCTTCTCTGGAATAAGGTAGGTTGTACATGATACAATGAATGAAAAATTGGTCATAATAAATAAACCAAGTACTAACGATCCAAACTGCAAAACTTAACTCTAAATAATCCAAAACAGCATTTTGGCGAAACATTGGTAGCAGCTAATGAAATTTTCACCTGAAGAAGTATATCAATGATAAGTATAATAGAAACTAAAAAGTGGTATCATTTGTCATTGTTTATCGGTTCTATATCCAGTAAAAAATAATCATATCGAGAGATTGTAAATCGATGCTATCAATACCCCCCATACACATAAAAAGTTAAAATAACCTCACTTTAAGGCACGTATTCTGGCATCTCTATTATTGTAATGTAAATCTAGTGTAGATCCAGTCCACCAGTCCAACGAACTCGGGAAACAACATATATTACTCTTAAACTTTGCCAGAGATCTGCATTAGAATAACGAGATGCTAATTTCATCGTATTTTCGATGCCTTTTTTTCTGTGGTGGTAAAAAGGCAAGTTTTATATTTTAGGTATCTGGATTCAGTGCTTACGATACACAGGAAACATAACATGATGCTATTTTCATCGAATATTTGTTTTCATGTACTTTATTTCTGAGGTACCAATAAAACAACTTATATATTTCAGGTATTTGGATCTAATGCTAAAGACAGGGTGTTTGGAGTGTGGGCGTGGCAGACAGGGTATCAGGATTATTACAGACAGGCTATTGAAGATCTTGGTACTAGAGTTCAAACATTTAGAAATATCGCTATTACTGGATACTTTGATTGTTCTCGTGTAGCTGATAAACATGTAAGTTTATTTCATATGACAACCAATTTCTAGAAACTTTGTATAAGTATTAGATATACTATTCCTTTCTTTAATTTTTGCAACATTTCAATTCACATACAGGAACTTTTGATTCATTATCGATATAACTCGTTAAGTGATAAATAAACAACCATCACTTCCTTGTGGTGGAAAGTGACAAGGCGAAGAATGAGTCCAAAAATCGCGGAAAACACGTCTCAACTTTTACACAATGCAGTAATGGTCATGAAAGTTGTTTCAGAGAAATTGTGATTTCAGGCCAAGGAACTACCCCAGATGAATATGACTCAGATACAACAATATTGTAAAGCTGAACTTCCCAAGAAAGAAGCGGAATTTAAACATTATATGGACATGGCAAAGGTAAAAAGAGATTCGACTTGTACGAGCAATTACATGTACCTAGGTTATTTTGCCATATTCGGCAATGTCCAACAGTTCCGTTGTAAACTGTCTCAATAATGAAATGGTGGTATCTTGGTGTATTCGTCGCTGCTATCAAATACCGTGATGTATAAGAATAACTTTCCCAGTAGAACGTTGATTTGATCAAATAAATTAATCCATGATACTGTTTAAAGTGAAAGTTGGGTGTACACCCTATAATGGCAATGTCAAGAGTAGATGAAAATTTGACACTAGATAAGTATTTTTTAACTAATCGAAAGCACCGAAAACCTTCTTTGTAAATTACAAAAATATCATATTGCACGCATATCAAATGTTGTTTGATGCCCTTACATGGGACCTGGTGCTTTTTACTGATTTTGTTTGTCAACCTGACATCCAAAGCTACAACCCGCTTGTAATATTTTAATGGTACATTTATAATAAAGAATTTTAATAAAGACGACAATCTTGACCACTCGTTTCACAGTGTACACCAAAGATAAAGAAGGATTTAAGAGTACAAATATAATTTTTGATTTAAATGTGCATACGTAAAGTGAACAATGTTATCCCTCTTCCTATCAGGCACATGGTGTAGAATTAGCGATGTATGAAGGTGGTCCTGGCGTCATGGAAAGTAGCGCCATCGCACATTTCGGACAGGCCAATAAAGCTACAACTGAGAAGGCGATAGCATTTAATAAAGATATCCATATGGAAGAGAGCGTTATGGACGTTCTTAAATTGTGGAATAAAGTCGTAGTCAACGATCCGGCTACCAAACATGGTAAGATAGATTAATTCTCCCCATGGATTAGCAAACCTTTATGATTGTTAAAGGGGTTGTGTAGTGGTTTGTATGTATAAAGGTCATCTATAGCTTATATTTGCATACTTTCAAACCTCCGCCAGATAGCCGTGTTTCCTAAAAAATTTTAACCATATAATGCCGTTAAAACGCTAAGTTTTATTTCAATTGCAAGACCCACAGACGTCTGACTGACAATTTAGATGCCATTTTACAGTCCCTTTTAGTTTTAGATCTGTGATTGAAATAAATAATTATCCATGTTAGGCACGCAATATCAAATTATGTTGACATGTCAGCATTTTGCTTCTGATTGTGAACAAAAGGCAAGGACCAACCCTGGTAGAAATCAACTGATGAATCATCATATCTTAAAAGGAACTGTCATCCTGTTTGGTTGCTAAACATATTTTGTTTAATCATTTATTAGGTGGATTCTTCAACTATTTCTCTTACACCAGTACACCGTCTAAATACGGTTCATGGGGAATGTTGGAGTATACTGGACAAGATCCTAAAACAGTGGCTAAATTCAGAGGAGTTCAGAGGTTTCTAACGTCTATTTATAGTACTGTTCCACGAGGTCCTCGGTGTTCGTTTATAAAGAATAGTGCCATGGCGTATGGTTGCTACAATACTGCTGGTAAATTCGACTGTGGTATGACAGATGACAATGGTAGAACTTGGAATGTAAGGACACCTGTTTTACATTCCAATCTAACTTGTAGAATCGCTTCAACTGCCACTGTTATAATTTTAAGGTTCTCAGTTGGATAGAATCATATGAAGGTTCTGTTGACAATCTATGACTAGTAGTATCATTTTTATCTGATGGTAACCACTTTTTAAATCAGAAATAACACACATTGCGCATTCCGTACAATTTTTCAAACACAGTATAAACAACCAATAATGTACTGTGAATTTAGAGTGTAGATGTATCATATAGTCCTTACGAAATCTATGATATCCACTTTTCTTTCACACATTGATTATCGGTCAAGATAATGGTACCTAGAAGATAAGACATATGGATATACTACTTTTGAATTAATTGCTTATATATATATACCATATATATTTACCAAAGGTAATGTTATCAAGTAAAATGACACATTCTTTACCTATACCTATTCTAAATATCTTAGTGTTTTAATGTAACTGTCCTACTTTTATATGTTATCTTTTTTATATTCTAGAACTTTAATGTACCAGAACGAAGTCCAGGTGATACTTTGGTACTAGACGGTTACAATAAAAAGAAAGATTTAGTCTATATTAGAGTCACTGATAACCTTGGAGCCAATACTTATCATGTTTATAATCTAAAATCTCAACAGTGGACATCGTAAGTTTTAACTCATTTCTAGATTCTCGCATTTTCAGCGCCTCCTTTAACTAGATTCTAAACTAGATTGGGAAAGTTAGGTGCTCAAATGTAAATTACAGCTCAAAATCTAGGTACATGTGTCTAGTAACATACCTAAAATGTTTTTGTATCGTTTCTGAACTAAGCGAACTATGACGTCACTAATCGCAAAATAATACTGTATCACATACAGACTTAGTATTTAGCGATTAGTGACGTCATAAAACACAGACGTCAAGACTGAAAACTGGAATGACGCAAATTATTGCTATCGGTGTCCCTTTAAGATCGGGTCTAAGATTATCTCGGCTTATTTTATGACAAACGACATCTTTCGCATATAAAGGGATCTAATGATTTTATCCTTCAATCGAATTTTCTGTGGCAATTTTCAGTTATCTCTAATAACTATCTCTTAATTTGTATTAAAGATGTCTTTTCTCCACAATCACTACAATCATGCATAGTTCTGTTGTTCCATAGAAAAATTTTCCAAAATAGTGCTCAATTTCGTGCCATAAAATACTTTCGGTGGAACGATTGATCGGTTTGGATTTGATCCCATTTCAAACACAGTGAACAGTATATTCATTCTCAGGAGACATTTGAGGTAGAGATAAATAACGAAACACAACTTTGAAAACTCGGGAGCTTGTGTTCGGTTATGTTCATTACACATGTCCATTACACATGTCCATTACACATGGTACTTAATAACACAATCCATTAATTTATTTTTTTTAGGTCTACCAACTTCCTATATTATACAGAACTAGCTGATAGAGATATTCTCCCTCCACAGTCTAATAGTAACTACCTGGGATTAGATTCACATTTTAATTGTTAGTATAACTGGTATTAAAAATATTAAAAAGTGCTCATTACAATTGTAGAGCGTTATTCAATTGGTATTTATACATAGAAATGGATTGGATGGTCTCCAAGGGGTGTATGTACCAGTTTCCATACACCAAGAAGAGGGTAGGCAGAAGGGTGGCAATGGACTGCCAACGGAATGGATTGTCTCCCTGAAATACTGTTTCAGTACTGAAACTAAACACCATATACCATTGCCCCTATGGATATATTACTCCTCCCTCCTGATATATTACTTACCCCTCCTGATGTATTACTTACCCCTACTGATATTTTACTTACCCCTACTGATATATTACTTACCGCTCCTGGTATATTACTTACCCCTCCTGATATATTACTCATTCCTCCTGATATATTACTTACCTCTCCTGATATTTTACTTACCCCTCCTGATATATTACTCACCCCTCCTGATATATTACTTACCCCTCCTGATATATTACTTACCCCTCCTGATATATTACTTACCCCTACTGATATATTACTTACCCCTGTCAGAGTTAAACTGCTGTTAGTAAAAATATAATTATTGATTAATGACAGGATTCAGCTCTTAAACTTTTCCATTTTTAACACTCTGTTTACATACTTTCTTTTATTTACTTTTTAAGTCTGGAAACTCAAATATTTTATTTATCAAGCTCTTCAGGTTTTATTGGCTTCGTTCCCATTAAAATGGACGGCATGGTGATCTTTTATTCAGAGATTTTTAATAGAAAATACCCCGGGGTGATATTGATAAATACACGATCTTGAAAAATAACACTGTTACAACGTCTTCCAACGTTCTTCACTAACTGACGAATAGGATAAATAATACAAGAAAGAGAGGTCATCACATCAGGTTTTACAGCATTTATTTGAAATGAAATGAAATGGAATGGTTAAGACTTCTTCTTCCTACGTTTTGTACCTGTTTGGACTAAAGAAAACGGGTAGCCATTTTTGAGCATCAACATTTATAAATGACGTCATAGTCTGGTCAATATTAAAAACGTCACTCGGGAACACGGAATGGTGGAAATAGAAGATATGTAAGTGTCTCCGACAAACTTAAAACTTGTGTATCTTATCAACCATTGAGAGTTTCTGCTGTTGTCTTATTTCAATGAGAAGCCGCGGCTCTGTCTGTGAGTTAGACGCCTACTTGCAAACTTCAGGGTTGAATACCAACATAATTCCATTCAGTCATACAGTTGGAATGGTTGACATGGAAAAGCGTCTTGCGGTTCGGATTGTTATTAAACCTATACCCTGTGTGCAACATGATTTGCATGTTACAGATCCCTCGACAGTTGAATATCCAAAACAATAGCCGCTAAAAATATTAAAACTCAATGTACACTGCATCTCGTTGTCCGGTTTCACAAGTAGGGCATTTCTTACAGCAAGTCGTGAACCATTTTCAGAAGGGATCAATTATAACTATATCATTCAATATTTGTTCTGTGTCTTGGTGGAATTCCGGTGATTAATTACTGTAGGTTATTACAGGTAGTTCTAATCCCCGGACTAATCTCCCTTTATAACAGTAGCAGACGGTAACTAAGGTAAATACACGTGCCATATAGAGTCAATTAGAACCTTAGTAACCGACTCTAATCAATAAACACAACACCTTCTCTCTTCATTATCTTTTATCATCCGATATATTCCGACTGGAAAACAACCATTACGATAAATTCAGACTGGAAAACAACCATTACGATAAATTCAGACTGGAAAACAACCATTACGATATATTCAAACTGGAAACAACCATTACGATATATTCAGACTGAAAAACAACCATTACGGTATACTCAAACTGGAAAACAACCATTACGATATATTCCGACTGGAAAACAACCATTACGATAAATTCCGACTGGAAAAAAACCATTACGATATATTCCGACTGGAAAACAACCATTACGATAAATTCAAACTGGAAAACAACCATTACGATAAATTCAGACTGAAAAACAACCATTACGATAAATTTAGACTGGAAAACAACCATTACGATAAATTCCGATTGGAAAACAACCATTACGATATATTCCGACTGGGAAACAACCATTACGATAAATTCCGACTGGAAAACAACCATTACGATATATTCAAACTGGAAAACAACCATTACGATAAATTCCGATTGGAAAACAACCATTACGATATATTCAGACTGGAAAACAACCATTACGATATATTCCGACAGGAAAACAACCATTACGATATAGACCGACTGGAAAACAACCATTACGATATATTCAGACTGGAAAACAACCATTACGATAAATTCAGACGGGAAAACAGCCATTACGATATATTCCGACTGGAAATCAACCATTACGATAAATTCCGACGGGAAAACAACCATTACGATATATTCAAACTGGAAAACAATCATTACGATATATTCCGACTGGAAAACAACCATTACGATATATTCAAACTGGAATAACAACCATTTCGATATATTCAGACTGGAAAACAACCATTACGATATATTCAGACTGGAATAACAACCATTACGATATATTCCGACTGGAAAACAACCATTACGATATATTCCGACTGGAAAACAACCATTACGATATATTCCGACTGGAAAACAACCATTATGATAAATTCCGATTGGAAAACAACCATAACGATATATTCAAACTGGAATAACAACCATTACGATATATTCTGACTGGAAAACAACCATTACGATATATTCCGACTGGAAAACAACCATTACGATAAATGCAGACTGAAAAACAACAATTACTTACAATCACTCCGATATATTCCGACTGGAAAACAACCATTACGATATATTCAGACTGGAAAACAACCATTACAATAAATGCCGACTGGAAAACAACCATTCCTTACAATCACTCCGATATATTCCGACTGGAAAACAACCATTACGATATATTCCGATTGGAAAACAACCATTACGATCAATTCCGGCTGGAAAACAACCATTACGATAAATTCAGACTGGAATTTCAAAATCCGCAACGAAATAAACTTAGCCTACATGACACGCTTTGAGTGGTTAAAAATAAAGTCATTAGAACGCGACGGTGGTAGAAACGTGTTAGATTACAATGCAGATTGAGAAATATCACGGAAAAAAGGAAATTAATATCAATCTTAATTCTATAACCAGGCGTGTCTCTATGAGTAATTTTGATATTAATTGACAATTAATTTTTTTTTCAGCTTAACTTTTTTTTGTTGAATTGTCTTCAATACGGACGTGGTTGATCTCAAGCTACCTGGTACTGCCTTTTGTGTTATAACAAGCATGTTCCTTCATGTGCTTTGTTTTCTCTATTGACTTAAAATACTGCGCAGGTGGCGCTCGAAGCTTGAGTATATCTTATAGATGCTGTAACGAAGTCGCACGGTGCACCCTCCGAACAATATCAGTGGGAAGTGAAGAATCTACGTAGAAGCATTATACTTTATAGTATTTTCATTTTCTCGTGCTTCAGTGGCTTTATTATAATATATTGTGTTCATACCTTTTTGAATTAGTCCTATCATGTTTTTATCGTGTCTAGGTGCTATATGGCCAGTTTTGGTGCTGCTTCAAGGGATTTTAAAGAGGTTTTCTAAAAAGAAAATTGTGTATATCCGGGACACTAACAAAATAACACTTTCATCTTTAAACATATACTGTCAATTTATCTCTCTTAGTCATTTATATTGTGGTTTATTGTTGTCAGAATGTTCGGATTATAGTCATTCCTATTATAAAAGGAGGATAGGAATTGTTAAAGAACAATTTATCTCATCTGGGTTTTCTATTCGTGTTGAGACAATCAGTTGAAGTTGTATATAAACCTCAACAACTGGCATCCTGTCTTGTTGTCTTTTGTTAATTCTAAACATTGTACAACAATTACTGGCACTGTTAAGACAAATGGGATTGTAAGTGATGTATTAATTGAGTGTTAAGCGTTTTGCTGCAAGGCAGTTCAAATATATACTTTATCGGTTTAAATTGAATGAAAGGCTACTTGTTGGTTGAATTTAACTGTGGTACTTGCTTCTTTAACTCATTCCTGGAAATATCAGAACAGATGGAACTTTAAGTGATGTATTAACGGGTGCGTAACGTAGAAATTTCAAATATAAACTTTATTCGATTACGTGAGGACTTAACACAGGCTATCGGTTTGTTTTTAACCATAAACTACGTACAACCGTTTTCACGTTTAAATCAATCCTGAACAAATCAGGGAACGTGGAACTGTAATCGATGTTTTGATTTAATGTTGGTCGGTTGAAAGAGCTTGAACAACGTGTGCCTTTTTTATAATATCTTAACAAGTGTAAAGTTTGAAGTATAGTAATATCATAAAGGTTGCTGATGCATTAATTTTTAAAACGGACGCCTAGTGATATTGTGTCTTTTTCAAATCATTACTGACACTTCGGCGACACTTGGAACTGTGGCATGTGTATTATATTAAGTATTAGCCGGTGTGTTCAGATGAAAGAACGACCGACGTATGTTATGTTGAACCCTCTCTACCATTGAAGGCTTATTTCAATAATAACACAGTTGCTACTAAGTGTGATATTGTGGCCGCTTCATATAATTTCCGACTCTTCCAGACCATGTCGGGAATATTCTGTTTGTTGTATTAAATGTTGATACCGACATTTCCTGATCCAAATCATCTTCGAACTGTAAAACGTTAAACGTATCGTAATAACATAGTGTGTTTGTGGAGTCTGAAGCTTTGACAGTTTTATTACTATTATTTATTGAATAAGATAAGGATGCTATGTTACTTCTGAGTGAACAAAAGAGATTTACTTAATGCCGAATGCTATATATAGAGAAGTGGACTAAATATTATACAGCGGCTTTACATGATCTTTATTGTCTAATTCTTCTTGACCTAGTGGTGTGAAGAAGTCTGTAACACCCACTAGATACCCACTCAACTTAAACAATCCCAACATCTTTATTTCGTGGGATATTTATTTGGAATATTACTTGGAAGAATTCAACACGACCTCGAC